CACAGTTTCACTTTAGCTGTGCTTGTCCATCAAAGATTCTGGCCTATGTCCATCCAGCCAAAGAACTCTGATGCAGCTGTGCTGAGTGAATGGCAACTCTTCTCTTGGTTGCCCTCATGCCAGTGATAATGAAGATAATGAGACAGCACCAAAAACACAATAGGTGGCTAGGAAGGTAGCTCAGTTAGAAGAGTGCTTGCCTAGCAAGCTATGGATTCAACCACAGTACAAAACAAAACAAAATAACTGTAATCCCACACTGGGGGAGGGAGAAGCTGGAGAATCAGAAGTCAAGGTCACCATCAGCAGCAGCATGCTTAAGGCCAGCCTGGGCTACAGGAGCTCATCTCAAACAAGACAGGTAACGGTTGACACAGCTGCTAAAGGCGTGGGTAGGAGACAGAACCAGCTTCAGGTTTGCACACTCTGCCTCAGCTGCACCAGCCTACCAGTTCAAGGATCGCAGGGGAACTCCACATTCCTTTCCAGGAGTTACTCCTAAGTTAAAAACTCCAGGAGAAGCACAGGATGACACAGATCCTGACAGACCGATGAGTTTACCTTACAGTGCTGGCACTTATTGTTTTTGTTGCATCCATTACCAAGTAGAATGGGAAGTTTGTGGGCTAGGTTGCTATAACTATGACCTGCATGCCCACAAGCCTGTAATGCTACTCCTGAGCAAATAACCAAGGAAAATGTGTACGCAATCCAAAAGACATACAGAATGTTCCTGACAGCACTACTCCCCTAGACCAGCTAAACCAACTACTCATACTTGTCACAGGGCAGATGGCAGCAGCAGCAGGTCCATTCCCCAGGACCAACTTGTCCATAATGCTGTGCACCAGAATCCAGACTAGAATAAAGCTGCCTGACACCACTGCAGGCATCAGAAGTGGGGTGGGTGGTCAGGTGGGGAGTACGGTATAGACAGGCTGGGAACCCAAACCTGTGTTCAGGTGTTTTGGATGTATATATGTGCATATTCTAGAAAGGCATGGAGCTGTGCAGTTAAGATCTCTACCTTTCATAATGTGACTAAAAAAAAAAAAAAAAAAAAAAAAAAAAAAAAAAAAAAAAAAAAAA